TGCTTGTTTTTCGTATTTAAATTATTTAATTCAATTCATTTCACCCTATTGACCACAGACAAGGACAAATGATGAGCTATGATTGAAATGTATGGCAACGACGATCACTTGTCCTTGGTCCTTGATGTTAGTCATTAATCACACAATGGTGGTCTCAATCGTCAGGGTATGAGATTTCTTCATTCCTAACATTTATGCATGTTTTCGCTTTTACAGTGCCGTGCTTGTTATGATCGAAAAAACTAATTTCAGTCGCTTATCAACGAATATAAAAGAAAGATGAGTGGGGATGTTGACCTCACTTAATACGTTACTTCACAAACTCACGTCTTCTTGCTGAGCAACAGCTATGGCTCAAGAGCTAATTCAACTTCAGCCAGGAACGCAGGTAATAAATGAAGGACATAGATAAGAAGATGACATTTGTTAAACCCAAGTACAGGTCGAAAGATGGACTATTGAGAAGAAACTTGGTGAGGGAGGTTTTGGTGCTGTGTACCGGTGTCGCGACAACACTGGGCAGTATGCACTCAAAGTTGAGGGAGTGGCCGAGCAAATTCAGGTTGCTGTGACTCGTGAAATGTTTCTTTAGTTTACGAATAATGCTGTACGAGAACACCAGCCAGTTCTTTTCAAAACGGGAATCGCTTTATGCAATGATCTGGTCATCGAATTGGCGCGATTTAGGTGTTGAAAATGGAAGTCTATGTGTTGACAGAATTGACCAAACGTGGCTCACGACATTTCTGCAGGATCGAAGACAAAGGAAGATATGGCAATTTCAACTATGTGAGAAAACTGATAAAACGAATATAGAAAACTTCGTTCTTCCAGTTTTATTGGCATTAATTACAGGTGGTTATGACTCTTGTCGGTAAATCGCTACAAGATTTGAATAGAGGAGGACCCGGAGGGCATATGACACTTGGATGCGCAATATCTTGTGGCATTCAAGCTTTAGAAGCTCTGGAAGGTTTGTCTGCTCATATAGGGCCTCCTCCGAAGAAATTCAATCAAACCTCAAATAAAGTCATTGGAGCATGAATTAGAATGGGAAAAGTAGTCATGTGTTTTTGTACGATTGAAAGACAAATTTTAGTAGATTTCCAGGTGCAGGTAAGTACTGGCATAAGTGGTGTTAAATCCGTAGAAAACCTCAACGGCTATTACGCTCTCCTCCCTGTTAATGACTACTCTTCACCACACTACGGTCGGCCCGAGCTCAATGATGGTGGTATTCAACAGAAATTGATTCGCTATCTTCGTATTACAAAAGATGTAGATAAGATAGATTTGTCGGGTGAACAATCTGGCGCATAACGTGAACAAGCAATGAGCGAGAAACCGTTGGATTGGGGCGGCAAACACGAGTGGCTGCTTTCAGTCCACTCCAGAATTCTCATTCGTAGTAGTGTCACAGAGGTAACAGAACGACATTCCGAACTCCTCGCAGAAAGCAGCGAGGGAGTCGGACGG